CCTTTGTCCAAAGACCCATTGCTCAAGATGATGCTTCCCAAGGACTTGAAGTTGTTTACATTTGTCAGTTGAGTATCATTGAATTGAATCTTTTTGGACAACTGTGATCAGACATACTAGAAATTTGGAAAAACAGTCCCTGTGTTTAGTTGTCTTGGCATATAATGCCCTATAGTGCTATCCTGAAGGAAGGAGATGAAAACAATGATTTTTGGCTCTATGGGCTTGGTATTTGGCATGGGCTGGTTGGTACTTCAACTTTTGTCAGACTGAAGAGTATAGCGCCTATTGAGACTTTGTTCAACATCAATTCTAAATTGCTGACTTTGTGTGCCAGGAGTACAGTCTTATCACTAAAAACTAGAAAAAGTCAAAGGGACAGTTGTCTAATTGGTACCTGATACACACTCAGCCAGACCCTGGATAGTTGTGACAACATCCCAATGAAGAATAGATTGAATGGACTAGGGTTAGCACACAACCCTGTTTTGCCCCATTGGAAATGGCAAATGCAGCTCATGCATCATCATCATAAAGGACCTTTCTTGCCCTGTCATTCCACTGTGGAATATTTGAATCAGCTTCAGGAATCCTTCAAGCATCCATAATGTCTCAGGATAGTCCAGAGAACCACTCTGTTTAAAGTGTCAAATGCCTTCATCAGCTAAAAGACTGTGTTAAGAGGCTTAACACAGGTTCTGCTCAATTCAATGGATTTTCCTTATGACACATATCATATATTTACACTTGTTTATACTATATTAATACTTGCACTATTGATTTTATAATAACTATTAGTTACCAGTAGATGAGGTCATATCAGTTCTTGTGTAGAAACTATTAAAGAGTACATATTACTACAAATTTTTGAGTCCTATACTTCCAGGATATCTAAATATTCAACTACCATGTGTGGGTTTACAAACTGCTGCTAATACTAAGTCTAATACTAATCTTGAGTAGACAACAAACCTATTGGTTTAAAATAGCACAACATAGTACGCTAGAATAAAATGTGTGTTGCTAATTGATTTTAATTAGCTAAAATAAGTGATGTTCAATTTCAACCATTCAGTCATTATAATTATGGCTGGACCAAACTCACTCACTCACTCTCTCTCTGTCTCTGTCTCTCTAAAAGGAACTTATCCTTTTTTTAAATCTACCCTCTCTTGTGAGAGTTATTATCTCAGGTGGTTTGGGTTTGTTTTTTTTTTGCTCTTTTTTAATGAAACATTTTTTTTCCTCAAAAGGGAGGCTAAAGCCTTTTTGGAAACATTTGAAAAAAATTGGTGGCAACTTACAAGTTTTAAATGAAAAATAAGAAAAAAGGTTTGATGAATTTGTAACAGTTGAAAATCAACCTGAAGAAGACATCCAGATACAGATATCAATATTTAAATCAGCCATGCAACTGTAGGTAGGACTGGAGGTTTGTTTATTGCTAATATACTGTATATCATATACTGTATGTCAAACTCAATTTCACTGAGAGCCGCATCAGGTTTGTGCTTGACCTTGGGAGTGTGAGGTGGGATGGGCATGGCCAGGGTGGGCATGGCCAACATGACATCACTTGGGTTGGGGGGTACTGGTGATGACCCAAACGTTCTGCCAGCGAAAACAGGCTCCCAAGCTCCATTTTTGGCTGGGACAATTTCCTGCAATTCTCTGCCAGCAAAAACAGAGTTTAGGAATGCTGGCAGAGGCACCGTGGGCTGGTCCTTTTACAATTTCCAGGGCAGGCCTGGATCTGACCCACAGGTTTTGAGTTTGACACCCCTGACATATATGAAAGAGGAGTTTTGTTTGAAAATTGAAGATTTGTTAGAGGCGGCTAAAAGGGGCATTAATGAACTTCTCAGAAAAAAATGATGGAGTTTGCAGAATATAGACATCGCATGCAGCTAGAGGACAGCTGTCAAGATACATTGGGTCTCAATTTGTGGAAAGATTTGTTGAACAAGTATTATGGAAATATTCTCAAAGGAGATGTACTTTTTTGGATATTGAGAAGCAGTTGTCTGAAAAGATTCCACTCATAGTTTTAAAGAAATGCAAATACAATATATTGAATGTTGTTTTTATTATTAAGAATCAGATGATATTTGATCCTGGACAGATCAGAGACAATGGCTGTACTGGTTTATGAGAGAATAGAAGCCACTTGTAGATTTTCTGCGAATACAATAACAGATTGTTAACAGAGAGCTTTGAGGTCTAGCTTTGTTGTTGGGACTACCTGTTAACTGTTTTTTACCTGTTAACTGTTTTTTAAAAAAATAAAAGATAGATGGATGGTCAAATTGGTTGATAGATTTCTTGATCTTGTATTTGAACCTTGGAAATATACACCCACACACCTCTGGACCAAAACAAATTGCCTTTATTACTAGTACTATACATTCTCCATTATACCAGCAAATTCCACTGGAAAATGTCAGGATATCTGTTTCTGATCTGAAATTCAAGAGAAAGTAGGTCATGTAGCAAGAGAATGACCCAAAACAGAATAATACAGTTGGAAGGGACGTTATAGTCCAACACCCTGCTCAAGCAGGAAACTCTATAATATTTCATACAAATTGTCCAATCTCTTTCTAAAAACCTCAAGTATTAGAGCCCCCATAACTTCTAGGCTAGTTGTTCCACTGATTGTTCTAACTATCAGGAAATTTCTCTTTAGTTCTAGGTGGGCCCTCTCCCTGATTAGTTTCCATCCACTTCTTCATAGTTGATAGTTCCATTCATTGCTTCCTATGACCAAAGACTGGTTAAAGGAGAATAATTGTTGGCTGAGTGAAAACAAAAATAGCCAGGGAAAAAGGCCTCTTGTCAGTCAGCTGATTTACCAGTAGCTTACCTGGTACTTAGGAGCAGAGGACAAGGAAACAAAAACCAATGACTTAATAGCCGGCCATCAACATTCCAATTAACAACTGAACGTCACACACAACTAGCTCCCCCTAAATACCATACATAGAACAGCCCAGTGTTCTGAGGATGGGCTTCAGCATGAGTTTGAAAGCTTGGAAAACTAAATCTCTGGTCCTGGTGACCGACTCAGGTTGGATCCAGCAAAGTGGAACAAATTTAAGAATTTTGGAATGACCAAGTCAGAATCATGACCGTAACCCTATAGAAATGTTGTGGAACGATATGATACAGCAGTTCATCTGAGGAAGCCTACCATTATCCTTGAGTTGAAGTTCTTCTGTAAGAAGAAATAGGCTAAAATTCCTCCAAGCCAGTGTGCAGAACAGTTATCAGAAAATTTTAGTTGCAGTTATTGTTTCTCAAGAGCAGGAACACCAGTTATTGAAAGCAAAAGTTCATATAAGTTTGACAAACACAAATATATAGTAGGTTCCATGTAATTATAATGTTATGGTTGACTTTAGAACAAAGGCATATATTAAATGATTTGCTAATATCACTTCTCCATCCCCAAACTATACTGGAAATATTTATTTATTTTATTTAGTTTGTCAAACATGTACGAGATAACAGGTATAAGTATAAACATGGACACGAAAAAAGGAAATGAATACAAATAAATGGGGACAGTAGGACAGGGATGCACATTGGTGTGCTTATTGTCAGCGTTCCAAGTATCATGTAGAATTAAACCAGAGTCCAAGGCAAAGCGATCCTTAAAGTTCCAATTTAATAAATCAGACATCTTAGCATATCTGTGTAATCCCAATTCTGGAAATTACATCAGAATCCCACCCAGTTAAAAGTTCATGAATTTTTCCCCACACCCACAATCCATCACATGGTCCAACCTTCTTCTTCCACACTGGCATCTATACTGAGCTGCTTCTGGTCAGGTGCAAAGGCGCAGAGACAAAAGATGACCTTGGTCTTCTAGAAAAGAATGACAACAGCACATTCCACAATCCTACTCCTTTCTATTCCCCCCTCTCATCAACTATACTAATGAAACAGCATAATGAAATAAGAGAAAGTGTGGCAGGCCAAAATTCTAAAAGGAATATAATTGCAGGCCTGACACTTACGCACGCTCCCTACATATATACCATAAAGACAATATTATTATTTTGGAACTAATTTTATGAAGGTCATTCATTATTGTTTGATCAATAGCAAATACCCTTTTTCACTTGGAACTCAGCTGTAGCTCCCCTGCAATTTTGCCATGTAAAATTCTGGCTAAAACAATTATTCTATCTCCTTGGTCTAGCTTACTCTCTTGGATAATTTTATTTCACCCTTGAAAGTGTGCTATGAATGATAATAGAAATAATGAAAAGCCTTGTGCTTTTCACTATATTTCATCCTAATTATTTTATTTTTGTGAAATTTACATAAAGTAATGATTTGCAATTAGCTTTTGATTCTTCTGGGAATATATTAGATTTTATTTATGATACCAGTTTATCCGATGTCATAAGGTACTTTAGAAATTAATAATAGTTAAAACTCTTTAAACTTTCATTATTTTTTAACAGTATTACCGATTGTTTTTCTGAATTTAGGAATGGCCTCTGCCGTTATAGAACGTGGGAAAAACTAATGAGTTGCATTGGTTATAATTACAACAATAATAAACATCTCCACGTTAAAAGTTTTGATCATACTGTATTGCATATAAGTTCAATTTAAAACAGACACAATCATACTCTCAAAAAACATTTTACAGAAATAAATGAAGTTTATGTGTACTAAACAGTATTTTCCATCCGTCTGTATAAGACTTTAACACAGCAAAGACTTTAACTACGCCAACATTCCCTAACTATTCTCACATTATCCAAACTGAATTCTCTGGAGTTTGACTCGGCTCACAATTTTCAAAACAATAAGAACGCCGATGCCCTTTCGTGGGCACCAGCTTCAAACCCCCGACTGCGTTTGCGCATTTCCTAGCAATCCACACATCCCGACCGGTAATCCAGAACGCTTTCTTCAAACCCGCCCTCAGCACTTCCTCGTTCCAGGATCTCAACACATGACTGGTAGAGATCCTCCCCATGCAATGTTGCTTTGATGACGCGCCTCGGCTATTGGACGTCTGACTCGTTAAGCGTGAAAGGCTACAGAGCGGAGCTCCGTTAATTTCAAGCGAGCCGGCTCTTGGCGCAGCGAGAAGTCAGCGTGAGTCATACGTGGGGACGACACTTCAGTGCTGCAGATCTTCAATTTCCACGTGCCAATTGCCGCATCATCCCAGCGACGTCGCAGAGGGCGGGCGATTACCCGGAACGGGCCTGTCCTGCCTTCCCCTTTCTTAGCGAATGACTGAATGGAAAGCATCTGTTTAGCTCCATTAGAAAAGAGGGAGGAGTGGGGCTCTGCCAGCCCACTTCTTTGGCTTAGCCTATCTTAGTCTTGGTCCGAAGCAGGGTGGGGTGGGGTACGCTTCCAGATGACCTCTTTTAATCAAGTGCCACTACAGTTGCAAAGATGGCTGTGCTAAATTCGTTTCCGACTGAACTGGAGCGACTGCTGGAGAAAGATCCCTACTTGATTCCTTTTGAGCAAGACTTCCAGCGCAGGTAACTTAACCACCTGGGTCCCTTGGTGGTTCTGCTGGAGTTCTGCTCTCCATTCCCACAATCCTTTCTAACACCACCACCACCACCACCACCGCTTTCACATTGTGAAACGTTTCTCTTCCGTTTTCTGTCTATTGGTAGAGACAAAAGAGTAACAAACAAAAGTTTACCATACTCTAAAAGTTACATGGTTGTTACATCTCTGTGGTTACATAGTTAATTCTAGCTCTATTTTAGAAATTATGGGACTGCTTATTTGCAACCTAGTTGTGTGCATGTTACCAGAATTGATAACTTTTTACCAATCCTTATAATAGGTTGTTATTCCATCTATATAATGTATGTTATATAAATATTTCCTTAACAGAGGGTGGACAGTTGCACATGTTCTGGAAATAGGTTGGGTTAATCACTTGTGGAATAATGTGTTTTGACTCATGGCTCCCTGGCAATTTTAGAAGAAAGCAGCACAAAACAAAGCTAATTGTATTTAATTTTTCGAGTGAGAACAAGATAAGAGCAAAGATATATTATCAAGGAGTATATTGAAGTACTCTGTGCCCTGTAATGCTTGTCTATTATTTAACCTTATTTTTAGGGTAAGTACTAGTATACAGAAACCAGAAAATGAATAACCAAACATAAACCAACAAAATTAAAGATGTGATAGATGAAAAAAATGATAACATAGCTTAAGCTGCCTTTCTAATGCTGTACAATATCCCTTTCTATACTTTTCTGCCCTTACAAATCATTGTTATTAAGATACACATTCGCTGCTTCATAGCTTGCCTCTTCTTTAAATTTCTCATTTCAGGATTTTGCCAACGCTACTCCAAATAGTTTTACTCTAAATTCAAAATTTCCCTCCACATATTTTGCAACTCAGTCCTTATATGGCCAAACCCCTTAGCATATTTTCATATAATGAAATTGGCTAAGCCCATCCTAATTTCCACTTCTTTCAACAAACAAATATCCTAACCGACCATGTGTATCTCACCACAGTATTAGACTGCTGTGAGAATAAAAGTACAGATTATTGTACTGAGTTGTATTTATACCACATGCAGTACACTGTCGTTAAGGCTGATGAGTTTTGGCCCCTTTTGCTAGTATACCGTAAGCAGATCCATAGTATGGTTTCATCTGAAACATGCTGACAGTATTATATGCACTGTAGGTTGTCTACTCTAGAGATTACTTTTCAAACCAACAAATTGTTAGTATACTAACTGTTAAGAATGTGTAGTTTGCTGACAGATTCGGACTATTGTTTTTGTATTATTTAACAAACAGTTTTAAGAACTCAGAACTATATCAATTCAATTGGCCTAAGATCTAGTGTTTCTGGTTCAGAAACTCAAGATCCTATTAATAAGCATGAATATTTGAGAATTTACTGGGTTACAATTTAAAATAGCCAAATAAATTGTCACTTATTAGATATGCTAGGAATTCTAGCTAATTTTTATCTGGAGTACGTTTCCTGAATTAAACTTCAGATATATAACTAAAACTTTAGAAAGTGAAGGAAGCTGCTAATTTGATAAACATGTTAGACATACAGTACATTATTGAATGAATTGTGGATATTTCAAGTAAACCAATTTTCTGAAATTAAATCACAAGTTAGATTGGGTTTGATTATAATGATGGCTAGCTAATTTGTAAATTGATGTAGGACATGGGTGTCAAACTTGTGGTGTCATGTTGCCGTCATGTGATGTTTCCCCCCCTTCGCGGAGCTGGGGTGGGCATGGCCTGCACATGATGCATCCGGCCTGTGGGCCACCAGTTTGACACCCCTGATGTAGGAGGAGTGGCAAAACTCTGGGCAGAGTTCAATGAGGGATTAATCTAGAATCCCTATCCTTTGAATTTTGTGGTACTTATCTTGAATTAAGCAGGTGCTAATTGTTAATTGAGAAGACTCCTGTGCATAGGCTGTTTAGCAATAAATCAATTTAATTGGACCTTAATACTGTTTAGCAATTTGGACTTTGTGTGGACCTGCTCTTTTGCACCTGACACTTGATGTTTTTACTAACATAGTCATGGGGTTTTTTGTCTCTAAATTTCATCATCCAAAAGATGATTATTATAAATTTTCCCAGAAATCTGGAGCTAGTGCAAGGAACAAATCTTTAAAAAATCAAGACTGGAAGGCTGCTTATCAGACAAGGGATAAAAAATATTAAATTCTTGTTTCATGTGCTTCTTTAAATCAAATTGAACCCAAGTTTATATTCACAGTTGTTTTGGAAATTTCTTTAAATTAATATTTTCTAGAATATGATCTCTGGCTGTTTGTAAAATATTATAATATGGACTTTTGCCAGAGAATAAGATTATAAAAATGGATAAATATTGATTATAATATAATATAGATTGTAGATAATAGAGGACTTGGAATTCTTAATACATGACATAATTATCTCTGAAAATGTACTTAGTTTCATCTTATAAATAGAACTTCTACAATATGTTATATGGTGATTATTTCTTCTGAACAAATGATGGATAAATATGTAAAAATCAAACACTTTTTTGGTTATGTAGTTGGGTTCAAGTAAAGGAATGCAATTGAGGCAGCTTTCTCTAATTTGGCATCTGAATGTATTGGAATTTTACATCTTTTAAAGTTTATAGCCATTATGTAAATGGTAAATAAAACAACATTGCAAACTATTCTGATTACTGGATTATTGATGGTGACAGATGAGCAAGCAATTGGGTTGATTTTTGAGATTTAAACTTGATTCCTATTATTATCTTTGAGTAATTCCCTTTATTTTTTTTAAATAAAGTATTAGAAGGGATGTATTTTGGAGTAGTGGAGTAGTAAAAATTGTCTCTGAGGGAAGTATTGTTTGATGAGGGGAGTTAAGATTAAAAAAGGGCCATATACTTAAACAAGGATGTATTTCAAAGAAGATTATGTGCTAATCTTTTGGGAAAAAGATAAAAATCTTGTAGCTTCTCAGAAACAAGAAGTGTATTCTAAACGTCTTAAATGAGAATATGTTTTTTCCTTCCCTAGCATGATCTTTTCAGACACAGTTTGTTATAATTTCCCATTGTTAATATCACATATATTTTAGTAGTACATTTGGATTCTATATTTTGCAAAAGTAGATGGCAGCATGACCCAGTATTGAAAGAACTTGTCTTAATTTCTGTCAGCGCTAGACTAAGCAAGATTCATTTATTTAGAAAGTATATTTGTAGCTTGCTGCTTTTATAACTTTGGGTAGCTGAAGTTAGCGGAGAATTAAAATGGTATTTTCCAGTTATTTCTCTAAAGATATCACAGAAAGAAGAGACTGTAGCAGGAAATGCTCGAGGAGATGAGAGAAATTTATCAGCAACTTTATATCTGTTCCCCACTCCTCTGCTACATAGGCTGCAGTTTGTGTGGTCTTCAAGTGAACAGCACATTTGTCAACTCTGAATCAGCTGAAAGACTTCTGTCCTTGGAGAGATTCTCTTGGTTCTTCTTGATCTCTCAGAACAGTGGGCAATCTTAGTTCTAAATTGATAGAGATCTTTGAGAACACAAGGCACGGCATTCATACTCTTAGATAGATTTCATATGGCAGGGGTCCCCAACTCCTAGTCTGTGGACTAGCACCAGTCTGTGGCATGTCAGAAACTGGTCCGTGCCAACTAGTGAAGCCCCATCTGTGAGATGCAGCCTTCACCAGAAATCACACCCATTCTAGTCTGCGGAAAAAGTCTTTCTCCATGGAACCAGTGCTTGGTGCCCAAAAGCTTGTGGGCTGTCATAAGGTGTTTCTTTGGAGGTAGGTACTCCTTAAGACAGGTCAATTCAATGTTGTATATTTTGTTGTCCAGTCCTTTTTAATCTGCATAAAACTGCTAGAAATTATCAGGAGATTTGTACCTGCATTCTGTCAGTATACTGAAGACACCAAATTCTATTTTCCTATTACATTTTCAGGAAATGAATGAATACATGACTATAGTCAGTAATGGATAAGATGAGGAATAGTAAATTGAACTGAATCCAGACAAGATGGAAGTACTCCATGGGGTGAAGGGTGAGGAGGGTTATTATTTCAGAGAGTGATAGTTCTGTCTATTATGAATTGGATCATACTGTCCATGAAGGAGCAGGTATATTATTTGTGGGTGCTTCTGAACTAAAATATGATTTCCCAGTATGAGGCAACAAGCAGGAGTCTCTCTGTGGGTTAATATACAACTGACTTCCTGAAGATAATCTTAAAATATTAATGGATATGATAACCTCCAGACTCAATTATATTAATGCGCTGCACATGGGGAAGTTTTTTTCCTTTCTAGCCTGGAATCTTTGGACTGATACAAAACTCCCAAGCCAAGATGGTAAAAGAACAAAAAGACCAGGCACCAGTCCATATCAGATTGTTGGGCATTATTCTTAAAACTCTGCATACCTTAGGTTCAAATTGTTTGAGATAACTCTGACCTCAGTATGAACCTTCATGCTTTCTGAGAACCTTTAAGAATGTTCACATATGGTTTCTGAGAGGCTATCTGATAGCAATGCAGCTTTCCATGTTATAATCTCAGCTTTTTGAATGCACACACTACAGAATTAAGGAGTCTAACATTTTTATTAATGTTTTGAAAGACTATTAAATGTTTTTGTATAGGAATTTGAATGTTGGTTTCAACTATTAATTTTAAATTTTACTTATTATTTTTTGGCTTGTAATGGTTCAGTTTTAAATTTGTTTTTGTAGGAAAGTTGACTAGGCAGCAACATTTATTTAATAAACATAACATTTTAATTGCAAAATAATGCAGAATTTTTGTGAAATTCGTTATTCATTGATTTTATATTGCTTTTTCAGTAAAACATCTCTAACTAAAACTCAAAATCCTTTTATATAGCAATTAGTAATTAAACAGATTGGATTTCATTTGAATAGATATAGATGTACACTTTAAGACATGTCATTTGAAATATATATTGATATAGAAACCTGTTC